GTGAAATAATTTGCAGCGTTTTTGCAATATTTTTGTCTTGCTTAGTTATCAATATACCACACTGTACATCGTTAAGAACTGATCGCTTCAACTGGGCGATATTTTTTTATTTTTGTTAATCCAGATCGCTGCGATAGGATAAGTTATAATGTTATATTTCGGCTGCTATTTAGAGAAACGTGCCTTATTTTATATGAAGCTTCTTGCACTTTAAACTATTGTGTCCTATTATGCAGAATATAAGGAAAATAAACGTCTACCATAAAATAAAATAAATCCGGTGCAGCGTGTATGGACAACTTTCAATTTTTTTTTCTGCTGACGTTACATGTAGAACCAATTAATAAAGGTTGGAGAAAACATAGGACTGAAAATAAATTATAAAAAATGCAATTATATGTCAGTGAACGTTGAGGGAGATATAAAAATAAGCGAACACCATATAGAGAAAGTAGATACATTTCTATATCTTGGGCACTTTATCTCAATTAAAGGACAAAATGAAGAAATAATCAGGCGATGTACCCAGGGATGGCGCGCACTCTTCAAATTTAAGGATATACATAGATCCTCGATGAGCTCAGAGGTCAAGAGAAAACTTTGGGTGAGCACAGTACTTCCTGTCATGACATATGGTTATGAAACATGGGCAATTGACCAGCAGACTTGCCATAAATTGAGGATAACCGTCAGAGGAATGGAGCGATATCTTCTGGGGATAACTCGAAGGGATAGAAAAACAAACAGATGGATCAGAGCTAAGCCTGACCTTCTAGATATTGTGGAAAAAGTGCTCATCAGGAAGTGGACCTGGACCGGACATGTAATCAGGAGGAATGAATTAACATGGACCAGACAGTTTATGGATTGGTATCCAAGAGAGCACGTGAGGAAGAGAGGACGCCCGCCGACAGACTGGGACAAGGAGATGAAGAAGACCTGCGGGGGAGCAGCCTGGAAGAGATTAGCATTAGAGAGGAAAGGATGGGACAGGTTCATTACCTAGTGTGGTTACAAGAAAGTTAATAAAAAAAAAAAAAAAAAATCATTCTCAAAACCTCAACTAAGTTGATTTTGTACATATAAGAGATTTTGCATAATTTTATCCATTGTTTTTTCATTGTATGCACAAATAAAGGTTATTATTATTATTATTGTCACATGTAGATCTTTTGCCGCCTTAACAAGCCTGTCTTGGACCATTTTTTCCATTTATCGGCAAGCAGCTCTGTTGCATCTTTGTTGATTCTATCTACCCATCTGCTTTTTGACCATCCAGGTGGTCTTACGCTATCTATTGAGGACTTCATTGTAACGTAGAGGCTTCCAAACGGATTGTAATGAGCTAGATCGTCCATCTTAACCTCCGTGCCTTCATACCATGGGATATTGATTGACCAGTTTCTGTAAGCAGTTCTTTATTTTGTCTTTCTTCTCCATGGGGTAGTACTCTGATCCCAGATCGCTCCGGTTATTGTGCGGAGGGTTTTCCTCTCTAATCTTTCTTCTAGGGTGATGGTTAGTATCCAGGTCTCACAGCCATATATTAGAACTAGCTTTATCATAGCATTGTACACCCTTGATTTAATATTTTTCGGGCTTTCAATACCTTTAAGAGGAAGAAGAAAGCTCTTTTTGCGCTAGTTATAATCTGATATATTTCTACCCGTTGGTCATTCATTGAGATTATTGTGGAGCCGAGGTGTTTGATTTTTCAATTCTCGGGAATGATTTTCTTTCTACGCAGATCCTGTTATTTTGGTGGAATTTTCAATTTATTATTATATATTTTGTTTTGACTTCATTTGCTTGTAGGCCGATCTGCTCTGCCCCTCTTAATACATCAAGCCTACAGTTATATGACTTTAATATATTCATTTATTATCAGTTGTTAAAATAAATTGTTTTGTTAGACAGAAGTGAATAGTCCTTTTATTTAGCTGTCCTAAAGGCCTCACATAACAGAATAACAAACCAGGTAAGTCAATTCATTAAAAGTGTATTTACTAAGTCCCACATTTCATATATATATATTCTTATTGTTTCTTGCCACTCAGTGTCACAAAAAGTATTAGATTCCCGAATTCCTAACGACAGTTAAACACCCTCAAAAAGTCTATATCCAGTGCCAGAGTTTTGTTTTAATAATCACGAGTGTAACTAACCTAGTTCCCTGATATAAAAGAGGAAGGCAATTCGCCAAAACAAACGTTATTTAAAATTAACTTTATTAGGTTATTTACAGAATGGATGAGGACCGTGATCCAAAGAAAGTTTTTTTGAGGCCAGACCTACCGGATGCCGTCCTCGAGGAAGACCTAGATTGCTATGGATGGACCACATCTCAAGGATTGGTGAAAAGAAGGGGAAGCCTATCAATTCAATGAAAGTGGTGGTTTGGGATTGGGAGGCTTGGAAATCCTGGATCTGGGTACCTCCACGATGAGAGGCATTATGGAGGATGATGAAGAAGAAGAAGTAAAGGAAATAGAAAGGAATGGCTGCTTCAACAGAGATAGCTGAAGTATGTGGGTTGGTCATCTTTTCTGAATAAATGAACATTAGAATTCATGAAAGTTTTTATAATTTATTTTTTATGCTAGGTCTACCAGTGTTTCCCCTCGGTAATAGTGCTAGATTAATATTTAAAGAAAAGTTTCTTCATCATCATCATATCATAGATCAATTATTCTTCGCACGAAAATGAGAAGTGGAAAATACACACCAATGATGTGCCATATATGAGTGAGACCATATCTGGTTACAGTTGTAAGAATTATTCAAATTAGTTAGTTGGGTCATGTAGGTATGACCAAAGACTTTATCCACAAATGCTTCCTCAAATAATTTATCCAGTGGAAAGCATGGATGATGAAGGCTACAACTGAATAAGCTAGGTGCAGGAGGTGGAGGACAATGGGAATTCCAAAATGGCGAATGCTTGGAATCGTGATAATCGTCAGGAATAAAGAACATCCAAGGTAGAAAGGTACAAAGGATAAAAGTAAACAAGAATAAAAAAAAAAATTTATATTTATTTTATTTACAATCAAGTTCTATTAAAGATGGGCAGTACTCGATTAATATCATGATTTGAGTGCTTTTATTAGGAAAAAGTAAAGAGTAGTTTCTGTATTCGCCCCGACTGAGAGTACTCATGCTGCATTAATAATTTGAAGTAAAGAAAGTACTCGCGATGTTATATCCAATTACAGAAAATACTCAGCGAAAATCCTTTGAGAACTTTTTATTTTTTCTACTACTACATCATTATTATGAGTATAGATATTTTATTTTAATTCCTTCAATAACAGGGTGGAAATTGAGGTTAAATAAGACCCACTTAAGCGATATTAGGCTTGAGTATTATGTTGTCAGGGGCTTTTATACTCGTCAAATATCAAGTCGAGTAGTGATTAAAGTATTCTGTGATGAAGAATAAAATATTTAAAAAATTAGTTAGTAAAATAATTTTTAGTTTTACCTCGAAGAGGGTTAGCTAAAAATAAATTAATTTTAATTCGGATTGTAATAGCCAACATATGATTGGAGGAAAAAAAAGACAGTTGAGATACAAATTGCGGAACCTCGCGAGCAGTATTGCTGTTTGTATGAGAATTGACCAGCCTCGTATATTGTACATAATTTTTACTGACATATGCAAAATTATATTTTTATGAATGAAGTTTAGATTTGTTTTAAATTATTTTTAATATATTATTATTTATATTAATATGAAATAATGAACTTCTGTTGCTTTATAGACAAATAAATTTCAATTATATGTTCTTTAATTAGACTATGATTATTAAAATCCTTCATAAAACCATAATTGTATATGTTTTTTTTTTACAATTTTCTCAAAAATGGCTCTCATTTATTAATTAGATTAAACTCGGCGTATCATTGTATAATTAAGTGGTCTTTAATATCATTTAGGTCTTATTCCCATTGATGTCACTTTAAAGAGCTTAAATGCTTAATGTTCCATGTACGTCTTCCTCTAAAGTACCTTTAATATTTAAAAAAAAACTCTTTTATTGATTATAACTAAAAAAAAAAATGGCTTAATATGAAGTTTGAAATAATATGATAATTGGAAACTGTAGAAAAAAGAAAAATGCTTAAACAGGTTTAAAATGAATCTCCGGGAATAACAGTCAGAAAGTATACGTATAAGTGGAGAATCGTTGAAAAGTGGAGAATTTTAGAAAAAACAACAATATCTAATATAGAAAATTAGAAAAGCGAAGAATTTTAGAAAAAATAATATCAAATAAATAAAGTTGTAGAAGGTAACGGAGAGTGACGAAAACAATATAAATGATAATTTCAGAAAAATAACATTACTTTACGTAAATCACATTTTTCCAAGGAAATTAAACGAAGTTTTCTAGACATTACTCAAAAATGTTGAAATTGGAGTAAGTCATTCTGTCAACTGAAAGGTTCAGAGACTGAAGTTATGTGATTTATAAAAGCAGAATGAGTAACTAGATTTTTATTGCCTACCCTCTATGTAATAAATAGATGTTTTTTAATTTCAATGGTCTTAATGATTTGTTATCTGTAAGATTTTAGCTTTAGCTCCGTTTAAAATGCACTTCAAAAATTTTATAATATCCCAAGATTAACATAAAATAATTTCTATTCAAAGTAGAGCGATAAGCGAAAGTTGTGATTTGTGCACACCAGATTTTTTAAAATTAAATATATTTATTATTTTTTTTATGACTTTCGCTATTGTCCAAAAATCAACACATTAAATAGCATGGCGCCTGTTAGATAATTATTAATATTTAATTAACTTTTTTTTTTGCGAACTCTACCGTCTCCACTGAGCAATTGTTGCAGAGTTTGTTGCGAAATCAATTTTTCTTAAAGACCGTAACAACTCGATACTTAAACCATATGAGTATTTGAGTAAAATACTTTTACTTAGAGTACTTTTTGCCCATCTCTAAATTATATACAGTGCGATATGTTTCAACACATATAAATTATCTGGTGAGCAGGTTAAAATAATAACCTCTCCTCTCCATCAGCTGTTCATGGTTCCCTTCCTCTACCACTACACCGGACTGGATGACCACTATCTTGTCTGCCTTACGAATCGTCGACAGTCGGTGTGCTATCACAATATTGGTCCTACCGACAGAGGCGTTCTCTAGAGCTTCCTGCACAGCCTAAAAAAAAAAAAAATGAAAGAAAAGAAATTACATAACCATTGCAATAGATTTTGTTTTTTTCATCAACATATTGTATATTCATTCATCAATATATATCAATCAGTAGAGACAGTTTAACATACTCCAATACCTTTTCATTCTCAGTATCTAACGCAGAAGTAGCTTCGTCCAGAAGTAATATCTTTGGATTCCTGAGGACAGCTCTGGCAATAGCGATCCTCTGCTTCTGCCCTCCTGATAACTTCGAACCTCTTTCACCGACTGAAGAATCATACGCCTGAGACATTTGTTGAAACATATGAAGAAATATGTTCATGCTTAAGACGATATAATAACTTAGTATGTTTGTTTGTATTCATTCATTTACTTAGCATCGAATAGTAAATAACTAAGTTTGGCCATCCATCAATTATTATTGTCAAAACTGAACAATGTGATCTATACAGAAAAAAATCTGGTGTGCACAACACACAACTTTTACTTACCGCTCTACTTTGAATATAAATTATTTTCCGGCAATATTAGGCTCTCATAAAATGTTTGAAGTGCATTTTAAATGGAGCTAAATCTTAAAGCTTACAGATAACAAATCATTAATACCATTAAAATAACAAAAACTGTATTTATTATATCGACTGTAGACAATAAAAATCTAGATACTCCATCTGTTTCCGTAAGCCACATAACTTCAGTCTCTGAGCTATGTGCACCTTTCAGATGACAGAATGACCAACTCCAATTTCAACATTTTTGAGTAATGTCATTTTAGTGATATTTCTAGTTAAAAAAGTTATCTATACAGACAGTGAGTAAGTTGATTCCAGAGGTGATTGCAGTGTTGAAATATACTGTGAATAAAGGTATAAATTTTGCCATTAGAAACATCACTAAAATTAATAATAAAAAATATTGAAATTGGAATTAGTTATTCTGTCAACCGAAAGGCTCATATATGGCTAGAGAGATTTGAAAGTATATATGAATATTTAATCTATAAATGATTATGGATTGTAGGACTATTACTTATTAAACTGTTATTTTTCATTGTAAAATTTACTAAAATTAAGTTTCGAGATTTTCATTGTCTGTTATGGATAGGTCAAAACTTGTCTCACTAATTGTAATTGGATAACGTTGAGATATCGCAAAGGGAAAATTCATCAAATTATTCACTAATTTAATTTTCTAAACGGTTACTTGATGATTTTTTGGAATAAATAGCCGATATATGCCTAATTATTTAAATATAATATAAGATCTAGAGTTATTAAACTAAAGCAAATGTACTTAAGGTTATAAACATATCCATGAAATATTTTTTATATTTCCTTTCTTCTTTCACACAAGTACAATAAATTAGTATTTTAAACAATGTCATTGACTTGATTCGGTGGATTTTAAATACTTTTTTTCAAAAGAAAAAATAATTTAAAAGTTTACATTTAGTTAGAAAATTTCATTTAATTTCCTTGGAAACACGCGATATGCATTAAATAATGTTATTTTTCATAAATTATTATTTATATTTTTTCTGTCACTTTTCCTTACCTTCTACAACTTCATTTATTTTATATTATTTTTTTCTAAAATTCTCCACTTTCCAACGATATATTATACATATATGTTCTGGCTATTATTTCTGGAGATTCATTTTCGACCTGGATAAGTATTTTTTTCCTTTACATCCAGTATCCAATTATCATATACCTTCAAATTTCATATTTAGCCATTTTTTATAGTTACTGTCAATAAAAGAGAGTTCATTTTTTTAAATTAACCATATTAAAGATACTTTAGAGGAAGACGTCTATGAACATTGGGCATTTAAGCCCTGTAAAGTGATAAGATCTAAATTGTATTAAAGACCACTTAATTATAAAATGATGCAACGAGTTTAATCAAAATCATTGTAGCCGTTTTTGAGAAAATTGTAAAAATCTGTTTCACCATTGATATAAAGTGGCACTTCCAGTTAGCCGATTTTAAGGGGAAAGTTGCTGTAACATCTAAGGCATATACCTATTTTAAATACACAGTATCAGTTTTGTACGACTTTTTGTTTTTGAGCTAGACTGTTTATATACCCACAGACACACAGAAAATTTTACGTGACTTGGTTATTTGGAAACTGGAGAAAATAGTTACTTTTCTATGAGATGTCAAGGAAAGATAATATAGTACAAAATGTGTGATTGGAATACTTTCAGTTTTATGGTTTCTTCCACCTCTGAACCGCTGTGACTCGTGTGTGCATGTTTGGTTGGACTTAGATCACACTCCCAGTTTTCATCTTACATCCCAGAAACACTATTTAAGTTTCTAGCTTAAAATAAACCTTATATACCTTCATCACTTGAATTGAATGAGACAACTCAAAATTATTTTCCATGCACACGCGCACTTGATCGAATGCAGTTACAATAAGTACAATACTGGAAACCTTTTCATCAAATATTAAAATGATTGAAGATAAAACTGAAACATACCTGGGGAAGCTTCATTATAAAGTTGTGAATATTTGCTATTTTCGCAGCTTCGATGACCTTGTCCATTGTAACCTCTCCTTCTAAGCCATAAAGGATATTTTCTTTAATAGTCATATCGAATAAGACAGGCTCTTGCGATACAAGCCCCATTTGGCTTCGTAAATATCTCACATTTATATCATTGATATCGGTACCATCAATCAACTGAAATATAAATAATTAAATGTTACAGGTAAACTTCAATAATTCAAAATCTAAATAAGTACGGAATTAATCAATACATAGGGTTACCTACAGGAACACTCACGGGATCTCACTGAATGATTTGAGCCATCAAACTTTGAAATCGGTCGAGCTGTTCGCTCAAAAAATTGTTACGTACATACAAGTGTTCTTCCTAAACTTATAGTCTCCTTAAAATGAAGACTTAAATAGAATCTGTGACAGGGCAAGAGCTAACAAGGTGAAGTTAAATGCGAAGAAGACGAAGGCAAATCCAATTAGGCTCCAATCTCCTCCTTAAAACTGTTCCTAATATTCCATCTCTGTTCCTACATGATAATCCCATCATGTTTTACCCCACCATCAAAAACCTTAAAATAACCTTTGATGAAACGCTTTCCTGGAGCAACCATGTATCCGATATCTCCCACCGTACCTTTGCTATGTTAAAAGCTTTAAACAGTCTCCGTCACCTTTTTCCTTTTGAAATCCGTAGATTTCTGGTCACTTCCTTAATATTGCACAACTTTGACTATTGTTGCACGGTATAAGGAAATATCTGTGGGGATCTCGAGACGAAACTAAAACGTTTTATGAATTGCTTTGTACGATTCATCTTCAGGACCCCAAGGGACATCTCTGTTTCCTGTTTTTATGAAGAGTTGAGTTAAAGTAGATATATCCTTCCTACCGTCATATGTATTTCCTGACATTCTTCCTCTTCCAAAACATTCAATCCTGTCGCCTCTTATAAATCCCCGAGCTCCTTTAATTCAAATCCTCAGTTCGCTCCCGCAATACCTGTTCCTGGTCTTCAGATTTATACACAATGGCCTACCGAACCGCTGTTTTCGACAGATCTTTCATTAATCGATCCTTATTCCTATGGAACTCCATCCCTCCCTACAGGAGTCCCTTCCCCCCCCCTCCAAGGCCGATGACACATTAACTTTACCCAATCCCTCCCAACATATTTTATTCATCTCTTGTTCTCAAAAACATCGTCAACGAAAGTAGAATTTAAATATTAGCAGATTATATACAATTACATTTTCTTTCTTACAATTACATTTGTTTCTTCCTACTGTGATATGTTCCATTCTCCCACTTGTCTTTTAAATTATAACTTTTCATAACCTCATCGTAATGTGCCCCCCTCAAAAATTGATAACTCCATCAAAAACTGCCCCCCTCATAAATTTTGATGGCACAACTTGCGCCATGAAACCCCCTTCTGGGCACCCCTGCCTCCCTACATTCTTCGCTTCTGTAAATAACCTACAGAAAGTTAATTTTAACTAATTAGTTTTGGAGGAATAGGCGCATAGCCTTCCGCTTTTATATCGGGGATTTAGGTTATTTACACTCGTGAATATTAAGATAAAACCCCAGCACCGGATATAGACTTTTGAGGGTGTTTAACTGTTGTTGGGAATTCAGGAATCTAATACCTTTTATGACACTGTGTAAGAAGAAACAATAAGAATACATATATGAAATGTGGGACTTAGTAAACACTTTGAATGAATTGTGACTCACCTTGTTTATTATTCTTCAATTGTGAGGCATATAGGACAACTAAATAAAATGACTATTTACTCCTGTCTAACAAAACAAATTTATTTTAACAACTGATAATAAATGAACATATATAAGTGAACGGTCGGCTTGATAATCTTGGTCTTCAATGTAGTAAGCCTCTCTTCCCAGATGACGTCTTCTCGTGTTTCTGTCCAGGCCTCAAGTTCGTCTTCCTCCTCTCTTCTGACAACCTCCTTTCTACCTGTCCCGGCCTAGAAATGCCTTTTCTTCTCTCCAGCTTTTGCTACCTGCTGGGTCCTTTCGGTATCTCCCACCTTCTTCCTTCGTCATCGAGATATTTATCGATATGAGATTTTTCAAAGAACAATTTGTCCACTGTACAATTGAGTACAATTCACAGTGCAACCTCACATTCCTATATATTATATATTCCTTCTCATTCCCTCACACAACGTCAACTAAAGGAGTAAATACAGGGGGCTTTCTATCCAATTCCTAAATATAAATATATATATATATAAAATTATAGATATAACTAATATATATATATATATATATATTGTAATGTAAATATTTTGCGCGAAGGTGGTGAAATCACAAACTACTGACAGGAATGACAGATGGTGGGGGAAAGCAAGTTCCGTATGTTAAGAGAGAAAGTTATCGGCTGGCGAGAAGAGAGGATCTAGGAGAACAAGGGAGAGACAAGTAGTCAGTGTCAGTAGAAGGTTGTGGAAGTTGAATGCACCAGTACAGAGAAATTGCAGCAGAACATTTCGTTTGTTTTTATATTCATTTAATGTTTCTTTCATTTTTTAAAATTTGTTGTTAATCAGTTAATGAAAGAAGGCAACATATACTTCTTTCTTCTTTTGCGGTCGGCAGAACCAGCAAAATAGCATCTTTAGTGAGAGGCACTGGTATCTTCTAAAGTCCTGGCTTTTCTTTCACGAGAGGAGTGGTAGTCTTGGCTCGGAGATCTATGATTATAATATTATTATTTTACTGTTTATTTATTTATTGTACATAGTGTGAATAAGCTACTCTTCTATCACCATTACTATTGTCCTTACATGTGGAGAGATTGTAATATTTCCCAATAAAGAATTGAAAAAAAAAATCAGATAATAATAGTTAAACCTTGTAAATAACCTACTGAAATTTAATTGTAAATAATTAGTTTTGGCAGGAATAGGCGCATAGCCTTCCGCTTTTATATCGGGGATTGAGGTTATTTACACTCGTGAATTATTAAAACAAAACCCCGGCACTGGATATAGACTTTTTTGAGGGCGTTTAACTGTGATTGGGAATTCAGGAATCTAATATTCGGTATCTCCCACCTTCTTCCTTCTTCATCGATTATTTATCAATATGAGATTTTCCAATGAGCAATTTGTCCACTGCACAATTGAGTACAATTCACAGTGCAACCTCACATTCCTATATATTATATATTCCTTCTCATTCCCTCACACAATGTCGTCTAAAGGAGTAAATACAGGGGGATGTCTACTACACACCATTACTATTGTCCTCACATGTGGAGATATTGTAATATTTCTCAATAAAGAATTGAAAAAAAAAATCAGATAATAATAGTTAAACCTTAATAAATTTTTTTTTCTTACTCTCTAAAATGTTTATTGAAACAATTTACATATATAGATAAACCTTAATAAATTGTTGTCATTGTGGTTAAAATCAAACTCACTATTTTTCCTTCATTGGGAAGATAGAACCTCTCTAGAAGCGAGATGATTGTCGATTTGCCGCACCCTGAGTATCCAACTAGAGCTACTGTCTTCCCCGCTTCAATCTTTAGATTCAGCTTATTGAGAACTTGGAGGTTTTCTCTTGTTGGATAAGAGAACGCCACGTCTTGGAAGACAATGTTTCCAATTATGTCCTGAAAGTTAAATAAATTTTCATATATTTATCCAGAAGTAACAAAAGCTTTGACAGTCTACCTTGTATGCCACTTACTGGTTTAATTCCCCGATCTGTCAATGTATTGAGAGATGGTTTACTATCGGCAATCCTATAGAGTTGCTTTATCGCTTGTCTTGCTGCTGGATACTGACTCGTCAAGATCAAAGTAGGCCCAGTTAGCATGGATGTCAAGCTTAAGGTATTCACAATACTAGAAAAAAATATATTGTTTATGTAATAAGTATGGAAGCGTGTGCAAACACTCAGTCTTATGCAAAGAATCGCATGAGTGTTTCGCATCACATCTACTAAGGCTTTAGAAGTTTTACTCTCCCTTATCTATTTAAATCTGTGTACCTGTCAATACTTCTATACGGAGCTGAAAGCTGGATATCGACAGACAGGCAAGAGAGCAGAGTCATTAATGCTGAAATGAAGTTTCTGCGAAGAACAGTAAGAAGAAGAGGGACTGGTTTCATAACGAAAGTATATGCCAGGAGCTGGGGATCGCCTCATTGAAGGAGGTTCTGCAAATCTGGCAATTGAAATGGTTTAGGACGGAGGAACATAGGGGATCCACTGAAGACGATGGACTACAGATGGGCTCCGGATGGCAAAAGACCTCTAGGACGCCCAAGAATGTCATATCTGCAGTACAAAGGAAGAGGCAAAGATCTCCGTTGAACCAGGAACCTGGCGAAGAAAACAGTGGAGTTCAAGACTGCTCACCCCCTTACGCTGATAGGCGCGAAAGAAAACAGATAATAAAGAAGACTCTTCCTTATCCCTCTTCAATTATGGATTAATGGAGAAGCAGTCTTATTTTACTTAAGATTGAGAGATAATATTGTAATGAGGCAGAGGGAATTACTGGGCACTTGCTAATATCCGAGATAATTGGGAAGAATTCACAATCCATTCTACAGTACGGTTCACCGCATCTTTATCGAAGCTTAATTTTAAATACTAAAATTAGTTACATATATCCAAAAGCACTGGATTCGGCACAAGGTCTAATAGAAACTCCAGTAAACCATTCAGTCTGTTTCACTGATTTCTAAAAAAAAATATTCTAACTAATCTTACAGGGGTAGGAGTATAAATAGAGGATTTAGACATACTTGAAATTAAGCATACCACTTGGCAAACACTTTACCGTTTTTGAGGCAGATTTTTGCCTGAGACAAAGCCGGTATCACTATCTGTTCTGATAGCCTGTTGCTCTTCAAGTTTTAGGATCCCCAAGACGACCACCACTCTCATGAGGAAGTGCAGACAAGCCATGGATGCCCTTGTCAGTAGAAATAGTGTGCAGCTAACTCGGGTTTCAGGTCACACAGGAGTCTCTGGTAATGAGGAAGCAGATGAACTAGCAAGGAACGGTGCGGAGATTCCCGTTAATGGAGACTAGGCATCTTCAAGAGACATCGATGCAAAGAAGTCCTTGATTGGGCATGAAAGGAGGTTGGTAAGAAATGGAGGAATCGTGTGGGCATCAGGCAAACCATGTAGCAGTCTTAGGTATAGCATTCTAGGTTCCTCCATCGAATAGCCGCCTATTTTGAATTTGAATAGAAAAACTAAAAGGTTCGAGATGGATGATAAATAGATTCCATTTGTATATCTCCTTTGGCAAAAAGGACCATTCGTTTATCATTTATTTGCCTGTACCAGTACCAGTAATATTTATGAAAACGTATCAACCTTTTACGGTCGGTGGGAGAGGCGAAAGCTCTTCTTGAGACTGTTTAAAAAAACTCCGAAAAAATAGATAATTACAACTAGTATTGTAAAAAAGCTCGATGAGAAGGCTATAAGGCATGAGCCGAAAAGGCTCGAGTTTTCCAAACTTGAGGCTCGAGTCCTAACAGATTAGCCATAATAGGCTTGAGTTGCGGCTCGAACTTTACTTGTTGTTTACCATATGTTTATTAATGGACTGTTTAAACTGTTTTACAATTTATGCAAAAGGGTAATATTCATATATGAATATAAACAAATTGTCATTATAGCATTTTAAAAACAGATTGTGGGGAGGAGAGATTCCCTCCCCGTCCTGAAAAAAAAAATAATGTAAAAAAGTTACCCACCTACCCTAATATATTGCCAATATAACATTCTTTAAAAAAAAATCGCAGGGAGGAGAGTGGGTAATTCACCCTGCCACTAAAAAAAAAATTAAATTAGATAAAGTATAACCCACCCACGCAAATATATTGCCATTATATCTTTTAAAAAAATTCAGAGGGGGCTAATCCCCCAAAACCCCTAAAAAAAAAAGTATCACCCACTTAATCACCATTTCGGAAATATATCCATATTGTTACAACAAACAGAAAAATATATTTGCTTACGAAAATGTACAATAATTTAATTTTTTTTTAAGATAAATTCATCAAGGAGAGAATCCTAGGAGCCTTTAACTTGAGCCTTGGAAGTTCGAGGTTTAAAGGCTCCAGAGTTGGGTCTTCACGACTCAAGTAGAAGCTCGAGTCGGTGCTTGAGGCTTGTTTTTACAACACTAATTACAACTCCAAACAAGGATTTGCATTGAACATTATAAAGATAATATTTTATCTTTATAATCAGGGAGGAATCCGAAAAATGTTGCAAGGCTAACATATATTCGTCCGCATGATGAAAATTCGTCATTTTGCTGACAATCCCCAATAGCCAAATAATGAAAATTATTCATTTGTATATAACAGAAAATGATTGATTCTTGTTCTTTTATTTCTAAATAAATTTAATTCTAATGTTTGCCAAAAAGAGATAAAGAGATGCCAGAATTTCGTTAATATCAAACCAAAAATACATATAATTTATGATATCTACAACTGTATTAGAAATAAAAATACATTCAGTTAATGTGAACACAAGAATATAATAGCATAAAACCACTTGTTGAGAATCGACCCATTGGTAGCACTCTAAAAATGCATTTACAACAGGAGATCTCGTGGCCATCTTCTTTTCAGATGCTTCAGAGGGTTATTGAGGAGGAAAGAAGATTAGAAACGAGATGGTTTGGATGGTTCTAAAGTTTGTTATGGATGGATAGGTATCTGGATTGGGCCAGTTCAGAAACACAAGGAACATTAAGGTCGTTATGGATGATTTTATTTGTGACAAAGTAAGGAGCATTGAGGATTTTCTGAAGGATTTTGGATTGTAAGGATTGGATACAAGAGAAATTCGGTGGTTTAGTGGAGCTCCATAGCTCAACTCCGTATGTCCAAATAGGCCTTACTGCAGTCATTTATATTAGTCCTTTGTAATTAATTGGAAGCTTAGAGTGTTCATCTAGTAAGTGTGGGAGTAGTCGGAAACGTCACGCGGTTTCTTGTCGTTTCAGTCTAGTATGAGGATTCCGAATTAGACGTTTATCCAAGTGGAGTATTATTAAAGGGTACAGGAGGTCATAGGTTTACGGCGAAGGGTAAATGGGATTTATTGGAATTTATTTTAAACCTCCAGTTTTGATACTATTCTTCAAGATTTGAGATGTGTGATTGAAGAGTTTGGGATACAACGGTTGTGTATTAACAGATGGGACACATGTATCATCGGCAGCAAAAAATTAGCACGTGAATATGTGTTGAGTACCCAAAAGGTAAGGATAAAGTATATTTAAGAAGGAATGTTAGGGAGAAGGTATGTACATGGGAAATAATAATGTATCTCATGTAAGAATTTGTATTTTTAAAAAATATCTGTTTATATAAGTTTATTCTTACCCAATAAGTGACGTTCCTAGAATATTACTATTGGCGATAACATAGGCTCCATAAATAAATGTTATCCCAAAAGACCATCGTATCACTGACTTAGAGATACCATATACAGCTGCATACCAAATAATACTATCGATTGCTTCTCTAAATAAAATTTATATAACATAGATAATGAGTACTTTAAATTCCAAGCATATAAAAATAAATAAAAAATTTGTCTCACTTCTTAGATTGTAAAAGCATATCCTGATACTGGGTTATTACATATTTTTGACAGTTAAGTATTTGAATTGTTTTTATATTTTGAACATATTCAGTAGCAACCTAAAATAAAGATACATTTAAATAAATCACTGTATGAATTTAACAATAGTAAATTTGAAAAAAAAATTATATTAATATTTTTACCTTGGTCGACCTGGTTGAGAGTAAAGCAGACCTAGAATCAGATTCTCTTGGCTTCATTCTGAAGATATTGACGATGAAGAAGATGAGAAAAATTGGTAAGTTCACCAAGGTAACACTTGAACTGATGAAGAGGGAATAGCCGATTGAGAACAGAACCGAAAGCAAGAATATGATTACCTGAGCAGCCTTATCTCCTGCAACCTGTTCAATTACTTTGTATTAATTTTTTCCGTTTGTACTCATTAATTATGCAGTATAATATAAGGAATATAATCATAGAATCCTTGGATACACAATGACTTGGAAATAAAAAGACTTTTTCTTCTTCTTGTTCAGTAAATAACAGTCGACTTAAGCTACCCCCCTGCTTGACCCCCCTATGAATCGGAAAAAGAACAGACTTCGTTCCATTGATTTTTACTACTTCTTTTGAATTCGAATATACAGATTTACTGGATTAGTGTCTTGTTTATGATTGGAACTTCAATATCAGTTGGATCCTGAATTAAATTCCTACGATTTAACAAAACTAAAAAAAAATTCTTAATATTACTTTACCATAATACTTACTGATTCGATGATCGATGGGCTGTTAGTCAAAACTTCAAGACAAGCATTAGGAGAGTTCCCACTCCTGTCGAACCAACTTATATCAATTGAAGTTATTTTGTTAAAAACTTTTGTCTGCAATTTTTCCAACCAAAGGCGAGTTGCAATCGTGGACATTACTCCCTTAAAAATAATTTTTTATATCAAGATATGGGCAAACTATTTATGCTTGAGGTATTTATTTCATATATAAAATACATTAGAATATTATTAATGATGTCAATGTGGAAGCATATACAGATATGCTCAGAAGAGACAACTGTTGAAGTACAACAATATTTGTAATAATGTTACCAACTAATTTAATTAATACAAATTATGTTAACAAAAATTGATGTTTTATTTTTAAGTGTTTTTTATTTCTGATTTTTATGGTCTGATTTATAACGTCTATAAACATTTCTTAAACACTTCAAACACAAACACACATAATTATTAAGTAAATAAAAATCCAGCAAACATGGTAGCGGTGGCATTAACACGCTTGTGGTACAGAGTAATATTTTGGGTTAAATTAATTTTATTTAAAATAGAAATGAGAATATCTATTGAAATCCCAAGCAGACCTAACGCTTTGGTGGCGTTCTTTATCTCAATTAGATTTCCCCAAAAACTGACAGTTGAGACGTTAGCAGAGATCATGATGGCCAAGAGTGTTGCCCAATACAGCATTCTCGTGCCTAGCGACACCAGTCCAAATCCGGCGTGGGGGGAGTTGACTTTTATTTTGTGGCCGATCCGCGGAAAGGAACTCTACCTTCTCACTCTGGTTAGAATAGATTTGGTTGTACCTTTAGAACGACCCCCTCTTACTCCATATACCAGAAATAGTGGGTATGGTGTTATAACAAAAAAAATCTGGTGTTTATACTCACACGAATTTCCTACCTATTTCAGAAAAGTTTTTATATCTTTAACATAAATTAAAGCAAGCTTGTGTGTAAACCGGCTTGAGGAAGATCAGCGTAAAATATACAATCTTGCTAATCAAAACATTTTTACCTTAGCCGAATTTTGTCAAACAATAATTTCTGTTAAAAAAGGAGAGAAAATTTGTGTGATGCAGACAACAGATTTTATACTTTCACTAACTATTCTTTTTTCTTCTCTCATTCATCGCTTAGACCCGTATCCATACATACAAAAATTGAATAGCTGTAACTTCGTTAATAGTTGCCCGAAATGAACAATTTTTATATACTTTTGTAGGGAATTTCGGTTAGGTAATCTTGGCATAGACAGACCAATGGCTGGAAATATGTTTTTCAGGCTTAGGGGGCTCTGAAACGTACAGAGCCGTCGAAAACCGGAAAGGACGGATCAAAATTTATTTCTTTGCGGATCCACGGAATTTACCACGACTTTCTCACTCTGGCTAGACCAGTTTTGGTTGTGTCTCCAGAACAACTCTTCCTCTGTTACTTGTACCTATACAAAGTTGTATAATGCAAACCGTACCAGATTACTTTTATATTGTTATTTTTTAGGGTAAAAACTAATTAATTAATACCTTTCATTCCTTCGAAATCGAGTAAAACAAAAGTATTATTTTAATGATTTTCAGTTATTCAACATAAAACCTGAGAGGTAAATGAAATGATACTTTTATCTGGTGAATTTAACTAGTTATACTTACAGACAAAACTACTGAGAAAAATATAGTGGCGCCCAGTCCAAAAAGATATCCAGCTTCGACAAGGGCTATTCGCCTCAGCTCATCTTTAGTGTATGTAAAAGACTAAAAACAAAATGATCTATGAAATATATATTAAAACATTAAATATCCTTATAATGATTAGAGCAACATTACACAAATACCTGGCAAAACAAACAAAATATGTGTTGAAAAGTGGGAAGAAATGTTGACGTAGTAGTAATAAAACAAATGGCCAGAAAACATACTACCACATTTTTGAGGTGTTTTATATTTAGCCTTAGTATTTTTTTTTTCTCTGGTAACTAGGCAAAGAAAACAATAATTGTACCTTTAATCTTAAAAATGGTAATATAATGAATGAAGCAAAGATATTACCTCTAAATCATCATCAATTAATGGTATGACCTCCTCAATCAATTCCTCCTCAGGAAAATTTTTTTGGCTGAATTGAGAAAACAATAATAATTATGAACAAACAAAATAAAAATAATGCATAAACGACCATCATAATATTTAAATTTAATTCATTGTTGAAGTCAATATATATATATATATATATTTTTAGATTAATATTAACTCTTTTCCCTTATTTAGCCTGCTGTTCACGTCCCGCTGTATCCTGGTCACACCCTCAATTCCTTCAATCCATAGATAAGCGCACTGTCATTTCAAGATTTTAGTTAAATATATACCTTTTTACTTTCACTTACCTATATATGTAATATATAATAAGGGTAAGTATTGCGATCGTGACAATTTTTGAATCACCGTTTTCAACGGAAATACATGTTTTGAAGTTTTTATATACTTTCCCCCTACTATACTATCCCCTGAGTCCAAATAACAAGGTCCCGAAAAATGGTCAGTGTCTGTGTGTATGTGAACAGTCTAGCTCAAAAACCAGAAGTCGTACGAAACTGATATTAATATTAAGTATTTAAGATAGATATATGCCTTAGATGTGGCAGCAAATTTTTCGTTAAAATTGGCTGACCGGAAGTGCCATTTTATATTAACAGGAAACACATTTTTACAATTTTATCAAAAATGGCTCTAACGATTTTGATTAAACTCAGTGTATCATTGTATAATTAAGTGGTCTTAATATCATTTAGTTCTTATCCCCATTGATGTCACTTCACAGGGCTTAAATGCCGAATGTTCATATACGTCTTCCTCTAAAGTACATTTAATATGGTTTATTTTAAATAATCAATTATTTACTCACATTATTAATCAAATCACATTATTTAGAGTTACGAAAAAAATGCTAAATATAGCTTTTGAAAGAATTTGATAATTGAATAAAGGCGAAAACGATAAAAATGCTTATCCAGGTCGAAAATGAATCTCCGGAAATACTAGTCAGAAGGTATACGTATAATATATCGTTGGAAAGCGGAGAATTTTATAAAAACAATATATAATATACAAAGTTTTAGAAGATAACAGAGAGTGGTGAAAAAATTATAAATAATAATTTTTGAATTGAACTGATATTATTCAACGTTAATTACATGTTTTGAAGAAAATTAAATGAAATTTACTAACTAAATGTAAACTTCTAAAATATTTTTAAGTTTGAAAAAGTATTTAAAATCCACATAATCAAGGCAATACCATTGGTTAAAAAATTATTTCATTGTATTTGTGTGTAAGAAAAAGTGAAATATCAAATCATTTCATGGATGTATAAAGCATATTTTTATAACCTTATATACATTTACAGTAGTTTAATAATTCTAGATATATTTAAATAATTAGGTATCAACGTCCGTTTATTCCAAAAAATCAAGAATATGTAACTTTAAAAAATTAGTGAATAATTTGATGAATTTTCTCTTTAGGAAATCCCCACTTACGATTAGTGTCACAACTTTTGACCTATCCATGGCAGGCAATGAAAATCTCGTAATTTCGTTTTAGTGAACTTCACAATGGAAAATAACAGTTTAATAACTAATAGTCCTACAATAAATAATCATCATTTATAGGTTAAATATTCAGACATATTTTCAAACCTCTTTAGGTTTATATGAGCCTTTCAGTTAACAGAATTTTAGAGATGTTTCTCTGATGCTTCAATTTTGGGACGAGTGTGATAAAATCTTCAAGTAAAAATGGAAAAGAGCACATGAATAAATCATAAAACTCTAGAATATGTTGCTACATATGATTATTGTTGAATATAATCTAAAATTTCAATAACAGAAACATTGGACTAGTGGTGCCAAGAAAGGGGTTAAATGAAGCAACTTGCGCCATCAAAATTTTTGAGGGGAGTACATTTTGGCAGTTTTTATTTTTATTTTTAGAGGGTGGCACATTTCTGTGGGGCTATGAATTTACAGATGAAAAGTTCTATACTAAGCAGCAAGGAGAAAATACGAAACACCGCAGGAAGTGTTATTGTGTATTATAACGATTTTTCTAATTCTACCTTCGGTTGCTCTGTTTTCAAGAACAGGTGAGCAATAAAATATCTTGGGAGTTCTTGCACCATCAATCTTGAGGGGCTTGGGCACCTACTTCTATTCTTGGTCTTATGAACTTCATTAAAGTTTTATTGTTTTATTGTTCTTCGAAATATTGGGAGAGAGAGAGAGATATTCTCGCCCCTCTTTAATTTCATTGGCTCCCTTGCCTTCTCCCCTAAGTCTGCGTCTATGCATACAAGTGCAAGTTTTTTTAACTTATTTATTGAAAAATATTACAATCTGTCTCAAATGACATTTATAATAGTGTTCAGAGATCACATTCACACTCTATGTACAATAAATAAAATAAATTATACAGAAAAATAATATATATACAATAAATAAGAATAAAATAACCTAAAAATAAATAAATAAAAAGAACACATACATACCTATATACACTATTTACAATCTGGTGAGAGAATTCCAAGCCAGACTTGTCCCTCCAACTGTGGAGGGAAAAGCATGATTCCAGGAGATCCCTGCACTTCTCTCTCAACAGCTAAACCCATTGGAGATTGAGCAAGAGTGCTGGTACAACTTAAGAGAAAAAAACAAAAAAACAAACAATAAATGTTTTCTTACTTCAGAATAAGAATTTTGTCTTTTTCCTCAAGTTCTTGAACCTTAGCTAGAGAGTAGTAATATCCTTTAAGGCCCATCAGTTCACTGTGTGAGCCTTTTTCCATGACACGTCCTTCCTGAATACAATTCCATTAATCAATGTTTACTTTTAACTACCAAAGTTTAAAAAGGATCACTTACTTTCATTGCATATATAACATCAGCCTCCCTCACTGTGGACATCCTGTGAGCAATGATTAAAGTCGTTCTACCACGCATGGCATTATCAAGGGCTTCTTGTACAATGCCTTCTGAATGAGAATCTAGTGCCGAAGTGGCTTCGTCAAGAAGGAGCAGTTTTGGTTTCTTCACGATGGCCCTCGCGATGGCTATTCTCTGTTTTTGACCTCCTGACAGTTTTATACCTCCTTCTCCAACAATTGAACTATAACCCTAAGCATATAAAAATATATAGTATATACAATAAAATTATGTATAGTTAACGAGTTAATGGACTACTAAGAATGGAGAAAAAAAGTATAGAAGAAAAGTGCGTATTCAGGTAGAGGAATTTTATGGTGCATTGTATAGTCGCTATAAGGTAAAGAAATTCATTGGTCTGTCTTCTCTTTAATCTTGCTCTGGAGAAGACTATCTAAGCTCAAATATCCAGATCACATCATGAACGAATAGTACAATCCAGGAGTTCTTTGATGATCCAAACCACAGCTGGGAAAACTTTTTATCATTAGAATAAGTTTTGGGAAAGGAACATCACTGGTAATTTTAATCAGAGCAGATTGTATAGAGTAGCCAGGGATTATAGTAGGTATAAGGGCGTTAATTGGTTAGTTGGTATAAAGAAGATTGACAGGATAGAAGAAGGTGGCAAAGACTTATTATTGATGACGAAATATGACTAGTTTGTAAAATTTGTTCAATAAAAAAAAAAAAAAAATTATACGTACTAAAGGTAATTTCTCTACAAAACCGTGAGCATAAGATATCTTTGCGGCTTCCACGATCTCATCCAAAGATGCATTAGTTTTTCCATATCTGATGTTCTCTTCTATAGATGCATCAAAGAGTGTAGGTTCCTGTCCTACGACACCGATTTGATTTCTCAGCCAGCTGACATTGAGCTTCTTTATGTCCACTCCTCCAATGAGAATCTAAAAGAAAAGTAATTCTTTTGAAAAAAATATTTTTATTGTTATATTTGTGTATTAAAATGTTTTCAACATCAAATACCTGCCCAGCACTAACATCATAAAGTCCTGAAATTAGGCTTACGATTGTACTTTTTCCAGCCCCACTAGTTCCTACTACTGCCGTGACTTTGCCAGGCTCAATATCCAATGTTAGATCATGGAGCACCTATATTTTGAAAAGTTATTACATATATATATTTTTTTTTTTAATAAATCTTGTAGCCTGAAGTTAAACTTAGTATACCTTAGTATGTAGGTTGGTAGGATAGGAGAATGTAACATTTCTGAAACAGACATCAGCCTCAAATGTGTCAGGTTTGAGACCTTGTTCGATTGATTTGTTATAGCTTGCCTCATTATCAAGAAAACTCATGACGCTGTAGGCTGAATCTGTCGCCATATAGAGATCGAAAATAGTATTCAGCAAGAAGGTGCAGTAATATATAGTATTAATTTGAGATGTTAGAATCTAGAAGATAAAAATTGACATCAACAAATGTGCATTTTGATTAAATGCTCAAGGTTAAGGTTAAGATGAAAGTAATTTATGTGCAAGAGAGTCCAGAAGGGGCTTTCATGGCGCAAGTTGTGCCAGCAAAATTCTTGAGGTTTGGCAGAGATTGGAAATGTTGAGGAGAGTCCATTTCAAATTTTGGGGATGAACAGTTTGTAGTAGATAGCTCCCTGTATTTATTCCTTTATGTGACATTGTGTGAGGGAATGAGAAGGAATATATAATATATAGGAATGTGAGGTTGCACGATGAATTGTACTCAATTGTGCAGTGGACAGATTATTCATTGAAAAGTCTCATATCTATAAACAATCGATGAAGAAGGACACTGGAAAAAGGGCGGAGCAGATAGGACTTGAGGCTGAGACATTGAGATGGAACGACATACCTGGGAATAGAAGTCTATTACAAGATTTAGAAGATCAAGTCTATAGTTATAACACTTTAATAGGATCAATTTATTACAGTTGTAGAAATAAATTGTTTTGTTATACAGGAGTGAAAAGTCATTTATTTATTTAGTTGTCCTATATGCCTCACGATTGAAGAATAACAAATCAGGTGAGTCAATTCATTCAAAGTGTATTTACTAAGTCCCACATTTCATTTATATATATTCTTATTGTTTCTTCTCACTCAGTGTCACAAAAGGTATTAGGTTCCCGAATTCCCAACAACATTTAAACACCCTCAAAAAAGTCTATATCCAGTGCAGGGGTTTTGTTTTAATAATCATGAGTGTAAATAACCTAGTTCCCAGTTATATAAACGGAAGGTTATTCATCAATTCCCGCCAAAACAAGTTATTTACAATTAAACTTCAACAGGTTATTTACAAGTTTCAAACCAGGGAAAACATGAAATAAATCGTAGTGTCATTGTGTTTGATATAAGATTTTTTAAAGTCTATTTTCGCTTTCACTGTTTTAAGAAGAGGTGAAGAATAAAATTTCTTGGGTGGGGAAGAGAGGAAGTTTATGCTGCTCTATCGATCTGAGGGGGGTGAGCACATCTGTATATGTGTCTTATCTTAGAGTTAAAAACGAGTTACAGTTCTGAAGCACTACTCTTTCAGCCATCTTGGTTGATGCCAGGTTATCAACAATGTTTCAGATTAGATTTGTAACAGGCAGCGCCACTCACTGGCGGATTCAGCCGGGTGGCTGGAAAAAAATTCCAAAAATCAGCAATTAAAAGAAAAGAGATATATAGGGAAAATTCATTCTCATAAACGATGAATTTCCTAACATAATTAATAAAAAAAGTTTATTATTGTGACCAGCACTAGCCAATTCTGCCAGGAGCATTCCTTCTCTTGGATGGTGGAAAAACAAAATGACAAATACACCTATTTAAATAAAAGAGAAATGTAGGGAAAATTCATCCTCATACACAAATTTCCTAGTTATATAAAAAAAAAATTATTACCGGACTGGCAAGTGTCCGAGGGGTAGACCAAAGCGAAGGTGGGAAGATTGCGTTAAAGCTGATTTGGTGGGGTTGGATTTGAGGGAGCCTGGCGGATGGAAGAATGTGGACATTGATTGGTGGTATCGGCATCAAACCTTTGGGGGGGAGGGTTCACTAAGCCTTATTATTATTATGATTTTTTAACATAATATGAAATTTATTACATAAATTAAATTTATTCATTACATGAATAAAATAAAAAAGAAAAATGTATTGGTTTTTTGTGTTGCTTGTTTTTGTTTGTTTGTGTTTCTGATATATTTTAAATGTCTAAACTTGAACTAAAATAAATACACAAGAATTTAAATGACTGTAACTTTTGTTTAAATATTAATTATTAATTAATTCAAAAACAAAAGACAGGAAAAAATAAATAATCTTACTTACAACTGAAATGTAGCCAGGATCAAAATCGCCTATGAGAAACAGCCTTACAGAAAAATAATAGGCGACCAGATAACAAGTACACATTTGGAAATAATTGAATGCTTTTCCTACAGAGATCATTGCAGTATATTTTAATCCAAACTTGTTAGCTATTTTTAATGTACTCTTGTACCTAAATGTGGGTGAGCAAATAAAATAAATAAATTGTGGATTGACGGTTGATTGAAGATGAGAATAGTTGGGGTAATCAGTAAAAAATATATTTGCCAAAAAAAAAAATATAAATATATATATATATATATATATATATATATATACCCGTGCTTGGCTATATGGGTGATCTGGTCCTGTTAGGAAAAGACACCGAAACTATAAAACTAAATACGACAACGTTAATGAAAGCCGGTAAAGAGCTAGGGCTGGAAATAAACACGGATAAGACAAAATATATGGTTAGCTGCAAAAATGACAATATTGCTGGTGATGTCAATATAGAAGGTAATATGTTTGAACAGAAAGAGAAGTTTAAGTATCTAGGGTCTACGATAACTAGAAAAAATTAAATCAAAGAGGAGATTAAGGTTAGGCTGAAGGCGGGAAATGCTTGTTATTTTTCTGTGACAAAACTACTTAGCACACACACCTTGTTCCGGAATTTAAAGACTAGAATCTATAAAACCATTATTCTACCTACAATTCTTTATGGATGCGAAAAGTGACTGCTTACATTAAGAGGTGAGCAACGTCTTAAGGTTTTTGAAAATAAAGTATTGCGTAGAATATTCAGACTGAAGAAAGATGAGTTAACTGGAGAGTTCAGAAGGTTACACAACGCCGAATTACATGCTGTATTCAGTTAACATAATTGAGGTGATTACATCGTGGCGAATCAAATGGGCTTGGACAAAAGAATTTCTAAAAGGTTGATATTTCTTGTACTGAATGGTAAACATCACGAGATAGGTCGAAGCGAAGGTGGGAAGATTGCGTTAAAGCCGATCTGTAGGGACTGGGTTTGGACGGCGAACGGTGGAAGGAGGTGTGTAATAAGTGATTGGTGGCATCAAACCTTCAGGTTAGCTAAGCCTTTTATTATTATTTTATATTTGCCATATATAAATATAAAAATAAATATAATTATTTATTTTTAATATTTTTTTTTTACTGATCACTCCAACTATTCTTCTCTTCAAAATAAATAAAACTTTAATTTGATAGTTTGCATGGTATTATTTAAACTGTGGGGCAGGATCAAGGCCTCCCCAATACATTTTTTTAAATTCATTTATTGAGTAATATAATATTCTGACATGGGACAACCTGTATACAGAGGCACTTCTGGTTGGTTGATTCTACACAATTCACTTATACTTACAGATATATTTAAGAAACTTGGTTTTCAGACTTTAAAATGAGTATTTCTATTGAATACTCAAATTAAAAATTTTTCATGAGCTTCATTGAAGGAAGTTAGTCGATCGTTTTACACATCATGGATGGTAAATAATCAGGACACAGTCATTTTTATATTTTTATTAATCTCGACCTTTCAACCAAAGCTTGCTGGTCATCATCATGAGATTTTTATATATTTCACATATATGAAAGTAAAAGAAAAATATATGAAACATCACTGTGTAAATTTATATACGAATACATAATACCTCTCCATTTCTAAATATTCGCCACCATATGCAGCTACAGTACGGATGTTTCCAAGTACTTCAGAAGCAATTTTAGTACATTTTCTGTTATACTCCTGCATCAATTTTCCCTTCTTTTTTGAAGCCTGGAAAGAATAATGTAATTTACAGTCGGAAGATGATAGTTCTTATAAGAAGTATTTTTTTTTTTAAAGTGAAAAGCAGAGGTTCATCATTGAGGTCTATCGTTGGTATTATTTAATATTTAATTGTATAGAATACAGCGATATAAAAATTTAAAATTGTCTATATAAGGGTATTTAAACAAATAAAAATATTCACAATGAAATTTAAATAAATGTAGCATCTATAATTTTTACTTTCACTTCCCCTTTCTCTGGAAATACATATTTCGACTAAGAAGTGTGTGGTAAGTGAAAGTCTTGTAATGTGGGCACCAGATTTTTTTGGTTATTAAATCCCGTGAACGGGATTTGAACACTTTAGCAGGCCACTTAACTCGCTCAACAACTGCGACCCCATATTTAAACATTAAAATTTAATGAAAACAAAACAAAATAATTAATTAAAAATAATAAATAAAATAAATCAACACTGTGACCGTTAACAGTAACAAAAATACAGATTTGAGACTTTAACATTAATGATCCTTACCTGTAATATGAAGAACATGATGATCACAGCAATCAACATCATTCCGAGGGTCAAAAGGGCAACTTTCCATGAAGTGATCATGCCGAAAGTGCAACCAAAAAAGAAAAATGACAACATTTCTGTCGCGATGGTTATTTTACTGTCAAACAAGAACGCCATCTTCTGTAAGTCACTGTAAAATATATAAATATAAAGCTAAAACTATTAAGAGTGATTCTCATTTTAGAGGCAAGTATTAGTCCATTACAACTTTTACGTGATTAGTTAGTTAGTGACTTCATAATGAAATATTAAAATATTAAAGAATAGTGTGATTTTATAATTACTTAAGCTACTAAAATGTCATTACCACGCATTGTCCCACTCTCAGTTTTCTAGTAAACAATTTTTTTTTCTTTCGAAACCTACGTAAAATGACAGTGAAATTTATTTCCACTCTTAAAGAACAACTAAGGCATTTTGTTAATGTATATATTTTTAAATTTGTTAACAGTGAAATATGTGCATGTATTTTCAAATATTGTTCCATCACATTTATGCTCATTTCCAAGCAAAAAACGTAACATCAGATATTTAAGCGTTGAAAAGAGGGAACAGTGGGGAAATTTTTTCACAGTGTAGTAGTAGCCATGGAGTTAAAGGACAGCCACCAGCGGATAGACCGACCAGTTGGGAGTCTCTCTCTACGCATTTGTTTCTTATATGTTGAGCACGGACCTTTATTGTAGTCATTACCACTGCATATATTACCTCGCTACCTGTTCAAATTATTTCCTTTATTATAATTCACGTTTGAATACGGTTTGTAGCAAGTCAGTTGGAAAAAAACCAACATTATAATACTAGTTGCACTGCAGTTTTGATCAAATAAAATACGTGAAAATTTCATTACCAAGTTGAAAACTCGTTTCATTTCCACATCCGAATTATTAGCTTTACTTACTTACAGTATCACGGTACGTTATAATGGTCAACGGTTCAAAAGTTAAATCAGTTATAACTTTATATGTCGATTCCGAGATTTTGCAGAAAAAAATAATTTTTATTTTCCCACATTAGCAATATTTGAGGACGGATATCTCGGAAACTAAGCGAGATAGCGATAAAAAGTATATAATTAATCATATTGAAAATTTTATTAGCTTTAATTTTGTATAGAACTTCTTTGTCAATGCAATGGATAGTTTTCCTGATATAAGCGAAAATCCGAAAAAAGTGATCTTCTAGGCGCCCCTCCCCCTTCCCACATCTGGCTCACCACCTAGAAGTGGGGACATTTTTAGTATTTTTACCTCCCTACTGGTCCAAACAATGTCCCAAAGTCAAACATTATGTTTCCCGTCATTTCTTCTATAATCATTCATTGACTGGACTATACCTATATGAGCTTTCTTATGGCTTTTGCGTAGTCGGGTGAAACACAATTGTTTAAAATTGTTCTCAATCCCAAAATTATGACCTTAAGTCATCCTGATTTAATTATAATTAGAATATAATAGAGTTAAATAACAATTACTTACTGTGACAAAGTACTGACAAACTGTTCTTGTGATTGGTCATACCAGTCCATCCCTAACAACAGCATCTTCGATAAGTAGGCAGTCTTAATTCTGGCCATTATGTTACGGGAAGCTATTTCAGCAGCCAAAATCTGAAATAATAAACAATACTTATTGAAATGTTGTTATTTTAGGAAAAAAAAGAATTTCAAGTAATAGTCAGTGTGGGGAGCGGGGTGGCCGAATAGGCTAAAGCGTGTGTAAGAGCACCCAGAGATTTGAGATGATATAAAAGTACGAGTTCGCGTCCCGGTGCCGGAGGGGATTTTAAATTCCCTGCCCTCACCCCCCGTATAGCCTAAAAGGCGAGGTAGGGAAGAACAAAAAAAAAAAAAAAAAAAAAAAAAAAAAAAAAAAAAAAAAAAAAAAAAAAAAAAAAAAAAAAAAGTCAATGTTCTTTGTTTTATTTTTATTGTTTTGAATAGATACTTTATAATTTATAATGATGTAGAGATGGTTGACCGTTGATATAATATGAGAAGGAGTTAATCGGGGGGATGCGGTCAAATAAATACTAAATTAAAATATAGTAATTATTTAATTTTTTTTTTTCGACCCACTTTGCAGGTCATCTTCATGGCTACAAAAGATACAAAACATAGTGAAAATAAAGAAATGAATATAAGTAGATATAAAATAAGAAGAAGTTGTCAGATACAGAAATAAAAAGATGATATCAGAGATATAGTGGTAGATAATTTAGTTAAAATATCAAGTATTATATATGTGGAAGATACAAAGAAACACATATATAATACTTGATATTTTAACTACATTGTCACCCACTATATCTCTGATATCATCTTTTTATTTCTGTGTCTGACAACTTCTTCTTATTTTATATCTACTTATATTCATTTTTTTATTTTCACCATGTTTTGTATCTTTAGTAGTCCTGAAGACAACCTGCAAAAATTAAATAATTACTATATTTTAATTTAGTATTTATTTGACCGTCCCTCCCCCCCCCCCCCCCCCCCCCCCCGATTAAACTCATTCTTCTTTGTAGCAACTAGACCTACCATTTAATACAACTGAAAAATGCAACAGTCAGGATTGTTGGTAACAGTGAGTATTACCTGGAAATTCATGAATAATAAAGAATTGTTAAAATACATAAATATAATTTTTAGCTGGCCAAATATATCCCAGCTATTATGTATCTATATATATAAAAATGAATGTATGTCTGTCTGTTTGTCCTTTGTGCATTACTAAACCATTCAACCGATCGCCATGAAACATTGGGAAGTTGTTCAGTACCACTCCTGAGAAGGTTTCTGGCATAGTACTTCTGTCTTATGATAATTTTATATATGTAAAAAAAATAAAAATGTAAATGTTTTTCTGTTCAAAGCCTCAAAAAAAAGTGCCAAAACGGGTTTACCGATTTGAACAAAACTTGGCTAAAGTTTCCCCTTGAAATCCTTTCAATTTATGCATAACATACTTTCCCGAAAACAAGCTGAAAAATGTTACGATGAATTCAATATTTTATTTGACGATAACTAAAAAAGTACAGACTTTTTGACTGATAATATCCACATTTATTTGAAAAATTCCTGATTTGCCGACAAAATAAAAAAGATTTCATCGAAATAGATAAGCATTATCTCCGAAATAAAACTATTTCTAGCGGCCGTAGGTGGGTTAAATTATTTTTTTAAGGAAAAACAAAGTTGAGATTTGTATTTCTCACCTCGACAAACCCTCAAATATCCATTTTCATTGGAATCGAAAAATAATTTTTTTTTACCTCAAATTTTCATCAAGGGTGGGGACAAATTTGTTTTCCAACTTTTTAAAAATTACAGATGTCCTTTGCTATTAATCTACTCATATGTGCTTTCTATTTTCTTTCTTTTTCATTTAGCCAGGCTAAGCCACAGCAGCGCGTGGCTGGGTAAAGCTAGTAATATATATATACTATTGTATATTTAAAACAAATGAATAATGAGACTAATAATAATATCAAATTACAGAAAAATAATGTTTCCATTGATGATAATTTTCAGAAATATTGTTCATCTGAACATTCCTTCAGCTCACCCATTATAGATAAATAAGATAGTAGTTATGCAAATATTAGATGATAAACTTTAATTTAAAGAATTATTATGAATCAGCTAATGAATAAAATAAAAACATTGATAAAATTAGTGATTTCTTACCTGAATGACACCAAAAATTAATGCTATCACTGCAAAAATCACATAACCAATGCCAAATTTTATTAACTGAGGATTCTCTGCTGTCATGTCGATGTTATAAGGCTGTAATTGGTTGAAATAAACAAGTATTTTAATTTTTTTCACTTTATCAATCAATTTTAATATTGGGTTGGCAGATAAATTCTTTAGGTTTTTTCTGTGTTTTTTTTTTGTCACTAACAAAAACTTCTTAGCTGGCGAAGTAATCTCTGTTGTGGATTGTTTACTCTATTTGGAATTTGTCAAAGAGCATTTCTGTAAACTATAGTAAAAATTAGATAAGTATTGTGTTTGCTATTCCGCTGTAAATACAATTCTGAAGAAAATATCATTCATTATCATGATATGTATTATCTTAAAAAAAGTAGGCGTATTAAAGACGCTCATTAAAAAAAAAATCTGGTGCGCGTAACACACAACTTTCACTTATCACTCCACTTTGAATAGAAATTATTTTCTGGCAATGTTGTGCTGTTATAAAATGTTTGAAGTACATTTTTAACAGAGCTAAATCTTAAAGCTTACAGCTAACAAATCATGAATTCCATTAAAATAACAAAAATTCAATTTATTATATCAACGGTTGGTTCATTATGGATTGTACGACTATTAGTTATTAAACTGTTATTAAAAGTATACTAAAATGGAATTACGAGATTCGCGTTGCCTATCATAGATAGGTCATAAGTTGTTACACTAATTGTAAGTGGATACTGTTGGGATGTCACAAAGGTAAAATTCATCAAATTATTCACTAATTTAATTTCCTAAACGGTTACATGATGATTTTTCGGAATAATTGGACGATAATTAATTATTTATTAAGTATAACTAGTGTTCGCCCAGTGGTTGAAATTCGACCATAGTTATTAAAAATTTGAGGAAAAGATATAATTAAATAAAAAATAAATAAAGAGTAAATCAAGATTCAAAAATCCTCATTTATTAATACAAACAAAATTTCAATTTCAATTAAAAATCAAGCTTAAGTCATTTAAAATTATTTATAAGTAATACAAAATAGAATCATTCAAAAATATTTAATTTTCATTTTAATTTATGTGTGTTATTATCACAATAAATTAATGTAACTGGGAAACTTTTGTCCAAAGATGTTGTTAAGCTGTGAATGTGATCTTTTGCCTCACTCTTCCGATTCACCAGATCTAGTCCCAAGCGACTATTCTGGTCTCTTCTGAATTCCAAGAATCAAATGCAATTCTAAAACGAATAAGACATATCAAAAACTACTAGATACATTTTTTAAAATAAACCCCAGGTGTTCTGCAAGGCATTATGCAGTCAGTGGAAAGATGAGGACAGAACAGACTAATATAATGGTCAATATATTGTAGATTAAAATAAACTTTATGTCTATAATACACCAAATCTATTTCATCCTGAAAGCAATGAAAGAGCTTATTTGCCAACCCAAGTTTAACATTAATATTTTATTCAAGAAGTTATGTTCCATACTCACATTTCCTTGGGTTTCTGCTTTGATGAATATAGTCAGAACCGGAGTTTGAAGATAGTAAACATTGAGTGGTATCATAAAACCAAGACTTATGGCAAAGAAAATGGCCAAGATCAATAAGACCATGTCCTTCTTGCTTGCGTAGCGTAACTGTTGAGAAAAACAGCTCATGAAGGCATTTCAAGCATAGGCGCCAGAAATATTGAGGGGGCAAACATTAGTGTAAGATGATAACAGTGCTCAATATATTGGAAGGGAGGGGAGAGAATTTATGTCATTTATAAAAGAATAACATTTATAAGTAAGTAACTTATAAGCAAAATAGGATTTTGTCTAAAATCTTAATGCAAAAAAAAATATATATATTATTTATCAAAGCTGTTTTTTTGTCATTAATTGTTCATCAAATGGAATGATTGAGCCATCTTTTGAAGATCGGGAAAAATTAAGTAAAACATTATGAAAAGGAAAATTTATTCATATGCCACTTAAATTTATCGATAGAGAACCACCCATTGGCAGACCGTTTTTCAATAAATAATATGTACTAGTAGGCCCGTGCGAAAAATTTGCACAGCATATTGTTTTCAAATGCCAAATTAATAAGAAATGAAAATAATGCAACGTATCAAAAGATGAAGAAATCAATTGTTACTTTATTGATAAATATAATCGATAAAGGAAACAAAAATTAATTTAAATCTTCATTAATGTTTGGAACCAACATGTTTACAAATTTCAATAAGTTGTATCTTTGTTAAAAATTGTACGATCTCGATGATTTTTTTTTCCTTTTGTAGGGAATTTAGTAATCTTTTATATAATGATGGGCATAACCAAGAGAAAAATGTTTACTTTTTTAGTTATTTGCAAATAAAGTTGGTTTTCTTTCATAACTTGTTTGCCTGAATTTTCGAGATGATTGGACTATTTTGTCCGCCTGAAGGAGAAGGAAGCCTTCGAAATTGGTGGCTCAATCTTGAGATTTGGTGAAGAATTAACGATGATATGGCTTGCCGATCAAAAACACCATCGATAAATAATATAAACTCCTCTCTCAATCATAGAGGCCTCAAGTCGACGAAATGAGACATGTATTCAATGACAGTACTACAATTAACGTAAGGTTGTGTCGATGCAAACCCTATGCCTTGCGTTATCTCGAAAATAGTACGTTTTTGGGCTTAAAACGCAGGATCCGATAGTTCCAGAGGAACTATCGGGGTCTTGCTGTACGCACCAAAATCTTCAAGATCCAATTTGTTCCGTATCGATCTACAGACCTACCAAAGTTCCAGTATTCAAGACTAGCAAAATGTTTGTATCGACTTTATTTATTTTAGAAAGAAAAACAAAAGTGGAGAATACGATTCGCTAACCCCCGTGAAATTCTTAATCCAACGGTACCCCATTCATGGTATTTGAGCATGACAGGAGCTTATATTTGGTACAAAACCGATTTCGAGCCTTACTGTAATAATATATGTGGAGAGTTCCAGTAAGTAGTTCCAGGATGTAGGGAGGGTTTTTGGTTTTGAAGACTTGGAAAAGGAAAACACCAAGGAGGAATTGAATTCGATGTGCATTATCTTCATTATAATGAAATGAATTAATTTATTTGCATATCAGATTATCTTTAGTTCACTGACCAATATACTATGTGAATTATTCGCAAGTTAATTAGCAATATCGCAATTGTTTATGCAGTTTATTAGATTTTTTTGAGTTATATTAATTGAATATTGGAGGAGTTGGACCCACTTCATAAAATATCGGATGGAGGGACAGAAAGTACCTCCCCCTCATAGAATGCTGGCGCCTGTGATTTCAATTGAAATTATTCACTAACTAAAATTTTTCGTGCACAGAAAACAAGATTTTTATTCAAATTCAGCAATTACTAATTTAAATCATAATAAAAATATTTGATACCAAATGCATTCCAACATCAAATAACATAGAAGTCTGTACGTACGGATTTTAAAATGATCCTTAGTTTTCCTGGTTTTTCGTTTCTGAAATAAAATATTATTTTTAAATATAAAACTTTTATTATTAAAAAAAAATAAAGTAAATTGCATTGATTAGGCTTCAGTCCTTAATATTATACTGAAATTAAAGATATTTTATTGAAAAGTAATGATAAAGAAAAATAGATGACATGTACAACAACCTAATATATATGTATATATATTAGGTTGTTGTACACGTCATCTATTTTTCATAATATAATAAGGATTGAAATTCATATTAGTAACTTCTCCAAAAAGTTCACTTTCTTTTGAATTATATATTGTCAAAATCCATTGCTCCAAAGAACCAGAAAAGTATCATGTCATCTATCATGATCTATGAAAGAATTCAATAGTAAATAGCAATGATTGTTTTGACATAATATTTTATTAATAATAGTTCAAAATTACTTACTTATTCTTTTGTCCTATTTTGTAGATTTTTCTAGTTCTAGTCCAAATCTGAAAATTAAATTTTAAAAAATATTTAAACTTACTTTACACATTAAATTAATTTGAATCCATTTTCAAAAAAAAAAAAAAGTATTAAAATACTGAATTTTCTTTTTATGTTTTATATTTTACTTTCACTAACTCATAAACAAAATATGTAGAGAGGGAAATTCTTAGTTTCATAATTTAATTTTTTTCGGGAGAGAGGGGGGGGAGGGACAAATATTGATTTTTGAAACTGCCTGACAAAATAATTAATACTAGTTGGCCAGTGCGAAAAATTCGCAGAAAATTTTGTTTAGTGCAGAAATAGCAAAACAATATGGAAACAAGAAGTTCCTATAAATTATGTAAGGAAGGAATTAATATATTTTCCTTAGTCGATCACAATATTTCATTTAACATAATAGACCAAAATATTTGTACTAATTGCTTTGCTAGGACATATTTTTAAACGCTGACTGGAAAGATAATAAAAGTAATAAAGACAAAACAATGAGCCGATCATAGGATATTCTAAATTATTAAAAAAAATAAAATGTAAGAACAACCAAATGTCTTTAAGAAATAATAAAGTTAATGTAAAAGCCAGAAAAAAAAAATGTAGACTATTCTACTCCTAAATGCAATATCATTTAACAGGAAGACATTATTAAGTATACCAAAATTAATGGACTGTAACTTTGTTAATAATTGCCCTATTTTTACGATTTTTTTTTTTTTTTTTGTTTATTTTGTAGGTAATTTATTAATCTTTGTAATTATCATGGGTTTAATCAAGAAAAAAATGTATACTTTTTGATTTATTCGAAAATGAAGTTTCTTTTCCTCCATAACTTTTTTCTAGGAATTTCAGGGAGATGAGACTATTTTTCACACGTGAAGGAGAATCTTTAAAATTAGTGGTCAATCATTGGATTTGATGAAGAATTGACAAAGTTATGGCATACCGACAAAAAAACACCTTTTAGAAATAATATATAGGATATTTCTCTGTATATATAATAGAAATATGCTATTAATTCACTGACATACTGATAACTGTATCCCGAAGATAATAAATCTAGTTATTATTTGTATTGTAGTTATCCTTATAATAAACTTAA